CTTTTCTTTTGCTTTTGCTTTGCTTTGTTTTCCCTTCCCACCTCGGCCTTTGCCACGACCTTTCCCCCTACCCCTACTACTGGCATTTTTTCCGTTTCTGTTCAAGAATCTCATCTGCTTCATCCTTTAACTTCTTGTCTGGATCCTCTTCTTCCTCCTCCTCCTCCTCGCCCTTTTTTCCGTGCAGCTTGTCGTAAAACCTTTTGAGCCTGTGCAATAGGAACACTGTGAAATTATATATTGCAGCACGGACACCAGCAAGCATCACAAAATATACCAAGACAATATAATGCGCAAGGCCTCCAACAAACCCTCCTCAGTACTGGCAGCACGCATTTGTTCGATTTGCTCCTCCACTTGACCCACCAGCGAAGAACTCGGAAGCGGAGCGATGGCTGGAACCAAGGGTTTGGAGTCCTGCAGACAAACCCACAAAAACATGTTTCTGTTCCAACCACTTCATGTTTTAAATTGTTTTAATATGTGACATGTTTTTTTTTGCACAATCATGTCCTTGAGTGCGCCCACATTCTTGCGTTCAGTTTCATCATCATCTGATACGATAATTTCAGCATCACCTTTGTTTGATTCTTCCTCATCTACCTCCGTATCCATGGGGTCTTCGCACTGACTCTCTGGATGCAAACTACATATCAGTTCCTCTTCCTCCCCACCCTCACTTTCACCCTCCTCCTCCTCCCCCTCCATAGGAGGCAGGTATTGTTCCTGTGAGGCCTCAACATGTTGGGAAAGGGCTTCCAGCATCTCAGCTTCTGTTGTTGGTGGCTTAGACTTGTCGCCCTCCTTGTGCTCACTTGAGCCATCCTCTTTGTCTTCCTCCTTGTGCTCCTGTTTGGGCATGTTGCCTATTTTGTCAATGCACACATGGCCAACATACAGAAACACATAACAAGTGCCGAGTGCCTTCTTCATTTTCTTCAGTGGAGGCGGCGTATCATGAGATCGACCAGGTGTGGGGATCTTCTTGCCATCTGAGTCCAGGAGTCCTTTTTCCTGGTAGCCAACTATCAGCAAACACTATCACCTATACTAAGTTCAACTAAGTTCAGGGTTCGGGGTTGGACACAAAGCAAAACGACATGATGCCTCCAGGCGTTCCATGACAATCGTTTTCAGGTCCATCATTCTTGAATGCCCTGACCTTAACAAAGCCCAGTTGAATTTTCCATAAAAGTCAAAAGGTTTGATACTGGTCTCAATCTTAACACTGAGCAACCCACCGAGCATTCTTGGTACGGACACAGCGATTGGTGACGTAAGACGCTAAGCCCCTGATTTGCCCTGCTTCGATCATAGCCCATGCCTTCAGGCGCACTAAATGTGTATATTATAAACTTCACACTCCATATGTTTTGTATTGTTTGACAAAGCAAGCCTCATGCTGCGCGAAACAATCGAAGGCATTGAGCTTCTTGTCTTTGGAAATGCGTGCCAAGACAGTCTGAACATGGCAGATCCAAAGAGAACTTTACAAAAAACACACATTGCACCACTGCAAGAAACGAAACAGATTCTGTACGAGCGACCCCTATTGCCTCGCATTCCTTCATTGTGGGCAGGTCCCCCGTGAATTGCGCAAGATACTCCACCAGAAAGAGGTAGTTGGGATCCTTTTCCACCTGCCCATGAACTGAGCTACAAAACAATCTTTTAACTATGGAGGCACATGATCACACATTCCATGCATACATGTAGTGGCCAAAGAGATTCTGCGCCTGAGACTCTGAAACTTTTTGCTCCGTGATGTTGACAAAGGAAAACACCTGGGCATTAGCGGAGAACCCAATTGCACAGAAAAGGTCATCATTGAACCACTTGGTTGCACACATTTGACTCAGAACCTGACAGATCCCTTTCCTTTTTCCTTTCTGATTTCTCCGCGGCGAGCTTTAAGGAATCGTGGGGTCAGCAAGTCATCGAAAAAACTCCTGCCAGCGATATCAACGAAACGCATTTTTTGGGGAGTGCCATAAAACCCAATATTGTAATTGAGGTGACTCCCGAAGCGCATTGTGCCTGAAGGAGCTGCAGTCGCGCTTCCGACATTCGGGAAGCCCTGTATGCCATCTGAGATCTAGTGAGTCCGAATGCTCTTGAAGCAGTGCTAGTGAATCTCACAATTTTGTGTAAGGCAACTGCTTAAGTAGCTGTGCCACTTCACCAACATTGAGCCCGGTGCTTCAAGAAGCTGAAGTGAACTCTCATGTTTCCGACATTGCAAGTGCGCTTGAAATTGAAAAGCGAATACTTACCAGGAAGGTTAGGGCAAAGGGATGCACCTGGTGGTTTGTGATCATCTTCATCGTAGACACGGCCATAAATAGGAAAGCCAGCCTGACCTCAGATTGAAAACCATAGGATGCACAACCTCCACCTCGAAGATTTGCTAAGATCAGAGCCTAGGCTCAGTGCTCGTTTCATCAAGGTGATACCAGCCTAAGTTTCTGAAAGTCCAGTGAATTTCCATGGTATTATTTTATGTTTCAATCAAGGTGCAGAAGGAAGAGGTCTGCTGTAGTGCCATGGCTTTCCGATATAGTGGGTCGCACTTGGAATCTTGTTGAATCCAACAAGTTGCACCTGATAAAGTGTCCTGAGACTAATGTAGTTAATCATGCTCTTGGTTGCATACTGAAGTATGTTGCCTTAATCATGTTGATCCCAAAGTGCTCTGTCACGGCAAAGTTTAGGCGAGCAACAAAGACTAAACAAAGCCTAGTCTTCGACTCTCAGGGTATATATATATATCCTTTTTATGATTGCATAGGCTCCAGCTGCTTGCTTTCACTTGCCGAAGGTTGCAAGAACAGCTGAACATTCAGCTAGGATCGATGAAGATTCTAGTGGAGCAGATGAATGGGGATGTTACCATAGTTGAAGCAGCTCCGGAAATGACCATCGGTGAGCTCAAGAGACAGCTGAAAGGAAAGCGAGAATGGAAAGATGAGTCTATGAAGAAGATGACCTTGGTCGAACTAATGATCGGTGAAACCAAGCTGATTGATGATGCTGAGACAGTCATGAGAGCTAGGCCCTAGCAGCTAGGCTTTCTGAAGATACAGTTTTGCAAGTGTGCTTCACAGTCCGCTCAATAGAGTGCTCCAGAAAGAACGATGCTGGCTGCCCCAATCTCACAGATTTCAACAGCTCCCAAGCCCTTTTCATGCAAAACATTCCAGAAGGCACAACGGAAATTGAAAGCAGAGCCTTTAAAGACTGCCACATGATTGGGAGTGTGACCTTTCCAACCTCTCTGACCAAGATTGGACGCGCAGCCTTTAGTGGCTGCAGATCTTTGACCAGTTTGACCATCCCAGACTCAGTGACCC